CATATTAAAGAGAGACACAAATAAGGTATGAGAATTAAATCTAGCAGACCCAAGAATCTGAGAAAGCCAGCTGACCTTGGCAAACCCAAGTGTCCACAAAAACTAAAGCAATTACTAGTCTCTTGAAATACAATGCCATTTTGACTTTAACTCTCAATTTGCTAAATGTCAGAATTCAGCCCAGCATCCTAATCAGCAGCTGCTTAGTAATTTTTATATATTTTAATGCAGATTCTTCAGCAAACATAGGAGTTGGAAAACCTAAAGTTGAAACAAGACATATTTGCAGTTCTCTAAGTTCTCAAGATGAAGCACAACTCACCCTTCAGCTGCACAGAGACATACAGGCAGCAAATGAACAGGAACTTTCCCTTCTGGTCTCTTAGAGCCACACAAGCAGAGAAAAAGGAGATGGAATATGCTTCAGTTGAAAAGAGCTATAAGCTCATTGTAAGAAATAACATAAGATCCACAATCAGCAATTTTTTTCCTGAGTTTGCCCAGAAAGTAGTGCACAGATACAGATTTCACAGCTAACACACACTCATGCTTGATGCACTGGCCCAATCCAACCACAAAGCTCAGTAAGTTTGGAAATAGTAAACAAACTTTGTAATTTTTTTGAGCTAGGACAAAAGTACCCACTCCAATTTATGGGGGTTTTTAAAGCCAAAAATGCATTTAATTGCCATGGCAAGATGGTGCATAACTATATACTGAACAACCAAAACGCATTAACAAAGGATATTCACTTAAGAATAGCAACCCAAAGCTGCTGCTGAAGACATCACTTTATTCTTTGAAGGATCGTATTTGCAAGTACAGATTTGGAAGCCCTGCATATTTTTTTTCAAGCATTCCAAGAGCAATGTTCCCCCAGCCAGTGTGTACCTCTGACAGCCACTAAAGAAAACAAAACCCTTTATTTACCAAGTAATTTTTCAGCTGCATATAGGTATCAATATACTTCAAATGTATTGCAAAAGCTGTAGTTTAAACACTGTATATAAATCCACTAGCTAATAAACATTCTGCTGCCCCTATGGGATTAATTTATTTTCTATGTTACTAAACTGTCAGAACAAATGTATAAAATCTGTAAAGTACTGGCTAGACTTGTATAGACCACGATTTTTTTTTAAGCTACAATTGGTAAACATTTCCAGCATTAACATTTCAGAAGGCTCCACACATCAAGACACAACCCAGAACACGCAGAGTGCTTAAAAGGACAGAAAAACTCATCAAGTAGATATTTGAGAGCATGTCAACACCAGAATTACTCAACTAGGCCACCCTGCTGGGAAAAGCAAGGCCTTCACAGCTGGGACAAGATGGGCTGTGCAGGTGTCAGCAAGGGAAAGTACAAGTGCAGTGGAATGAAAACTGCCATATAGATGCCAGAACCATTTTGCTCCACAGAACAAAATTTTAGTTCAGTTTGGAGAGTTTTAATCAATAACCTCTAAATTGAATAATTTCTCAATAGGAGAACAGCTGTTGTTATCAATCATGTATTTCAAAGCAGTATCTGCTGGAAGAAAGATACTGGAATAGGAGCCACAAGTATGATTTTTGGAGGCTTTAGCTCAGGAAATCAATTTAGTTAACAGGCCACAAGTTAGTGCCTGGATTATAACAAATATAATCTTTTCCCAGGGCTCTGTTAAACTCTTCATACGGGGATGTGACTGAGGATTCACAGCACTAGTAAGACAGATTCCTATTGGTGCACATACAGAACCCGACAATAAAAAATACTTATATTTACGCAAACATCAGTCTTATTTTCACAGCATTTCATGTTTTTTCATCAGGAAAGAATAAGTAAGTGAGATGAACTGGGGCCACAGCAAATCTAAAACTGTAAGTGACAAGATGTTTTTACTGCTATGTGAGCAGGGCACAGGCAAAGTCATTTATTGAACTAAAACAATGATATTTATACAAACACACACACATACATATGAACAATTTAAACAAGCAATGTTCACACAACTGGAAACTTCCATGGGAAGACACAACTTAAAAAAGATCCCAGGTGAATGCAGACTTGAAGGGCAAAAGTAATATCAATGTACTATACGTAGTCTATAAATGTCAAAATATACTTAGAAACACACTTTGAGGCAAAATAGGTAACTTGTAAATAAGAACAGAAAATACAAGAAGAAAATACAGTAAACTTCTATAATTAACATAGGAAACAAAACACTTGAAGATAAAAAAATCCAAAAGATTAATCTGAAGCTGGGCAGACTAGGGAGGCACAAAAAGTTTAACAGGGAAGTTAATTAAACACTGCAACAAGCAATGTATAGAATTTGCCAAAAGCTAAGTTGAAATGTTTACCATTGGAACAAGCTAACATACAGTTGGCAATTCTAAAATTACCTCTTAAATCAAAACAATTATCAATGCAAGCAGCTCAAGACAAACAGGCTAATCACAATGATTCCTTTGGTCTTACTGGAAAAGAACTTATTTTCTTAAACTGTCTTAATAGTAAATGATAAGAAACATTCTGCTTTTAATATAGCCATGTTCAGGACACCAAAATGATAGGTGATTTCCTAGTCCACTTAAGATACAAATAATCTCTCATAGACGGTGACATCCCATCACTTTGACATACATGGCAATGCACAGCAACTCTTCATCGGCTGACATCAATTAACTCTATAAAAGCTTTATGTGCTCTGTCTATAGCAGGCTTCTTTAGTCTCTCACCACATCAGCACCGGTTTTACTTTTTCCACGATAACGAGCCGTTTGGCGCACACCGTCAGTGTCGCTCATTAAGGCGAATTAATTAAAGGAAGCTGAGATCGCGCCGCCGCCTTCGGGCAGGGCCGGGCCGGGCGCTCGCCGCGGCGCTGCTGCCACCTGCTGGTGAGAGGCTGCGGTGCGGACCGCGGGGACGGCGGGATCGCAGGGAACGAGATTTTGGGTGTAGGACACAGCCAGCACGGAATGCTGGCCTCAGGATTGAGATGTTTGGCATCTAATTATATTGGCAAAGCGCATTAGGAGTTGATCTGGTGACAAAATAGATGCTCTGTGAGCGCCAGACTCATCAGGTACTATTCAGCCAGAGGGTGTTAAAACTTATGGTTGAGGACTTTATATCATCAGCGTTAACAACTGTAACATCCAATTTACAGAACTGATGCCAAGGGCCTATCAAAATATTAAGTACTTGGCAAATTATTCAAACAGACATACAGAAAAGCAAAAAAAAAAAAAAAAAAAGTAGTTTATTCTATGCTGCTTAATGTGAAAAGATTGTTGCCGTGTTGATTGAGGGTAATTTAAAAATATTTTGCCATTAGGCTCTATAATAAAAGAACAAAAATAAAATTCCTCAATGTACGTCTCAACTGCAAAAATATCAACCCTCATCTCTGCTCTGTCTGCACTCATCAGTGAAACACCTTCTGTAACAGAATTACCCCTTCCACAAATGAGAGACCTCAGCAGCCCTGGCCACTGAAAAGTAAAATCAGTTTTGAGACCATCAGATTTAGGGTGTATTTGGTGAAAAAGCCTACGTCAATACTAAAAACTCATACATTCAAAGTACAAAACAGAGACAGTTGATACAGCAGAAAAACACAAATCTGAAGATTATTAGAAGCTAGAGTAAGAGTGACTGAAGAGGTTGCACAAGGTCTGTTTCATTTCTAAAAAATAATCTGCTAGTTTACAGGTCTCAGCAATAGAAGCCAAAACACCAGCTAACAGTTTTTACAGTATGCACCATCACCCAAGATCAACATCATTTGGTCTCAGCAAATATATGGGAAAACACAAATGTCAGTCTTGGTCATTTCTCTAAAAAAACATCTTGAGACAAAGCAGTTAATCGGCATGGAGAAAAAGCAAGCACCAATGGAGACAAAACCTTCCAACTTTATACAACATTCTAGGAAAAGTGATAGAAGAATACAAAAGTGATGAGATGAAACAATTCTAGGATGTAGGCCACAAAATCAAGCTTACTGCTCTATCAGGAGAAGACGGCCACTTATACAGGATGATTGTGAAGCACCAAGTAATTTATCAAGCTCAGGAGTCCAGGACAGAGGGGGTTAAAGAGGTTTTAGTTTATATATAGGCTAGTCAATAGCTTGAGAAAATGAAAAAGAGGGTACTGAAATTCAGTCATAATGTCAATTACTCATTTGAATTAACAAAAAACAGAAATGTGAATAAATACTTGGGGTTTGTATTTTGAGCTAGGATTAACAATCATCTTTTATTCTGAAGGGAGGTGAAATCTTTTATAAAGTGGTCAAGCTCAAACATTGACAAGTCAAGAAAAGATTTGCTTCCTTGGGTAAAGTATTTCCAAGTTACACCTGCTCTTTCCATGTATCAGAGCTCCAAAAACCAGAAAGTTAAGCAAACACCAGAACACAAATTCTCAGAACTACACTTGTCCATATTCAATAGTAGTCAGTATAATAACATTAGGCCTAAACTGGTAACTAAAACTGTTACATCAGAACCACTGTTTTGACAGAACATGGCAATCGGTGCCTGTACTTTTATTTCTTATTTTATGTAAAAATTAGAAGCTTTTAAGAGTAAAAGTTAATCCTTTTTTATCCACTCGTTTCAAAGGAGTAACCTTTACTTCACAGTGAGTATCAAGACCAGCAGAGGCAATCTGCTTGATCCACTGCATCACAGCAATAACCCCAAACTGCAAGGATAACCAATGCCAAAAAGAACCTCATACCTTAAAACGCCTTTAATTGTAACAATTTTTATCAAGACTTACCATATGAGCAACAGCACACCAAGAGCCCTGGCTGCTGTTTTGGAAATGATGTACTGCTGTGCTACATTTAAAGGAAGACAATTGGGGGTTTCTGTGAAAATCAGTCTCACAAAACCGAAATGGACTCAGTACCTCTAAAAGCGCACAAGAACAGTTCTGGGCAGATTTGCAACTTTTTGAACTTGTGAAAATGTGTGAAGGAGCTGTCACTTACTCTGTGTGGCCCTGAAAGACATTCACAGAATGGATAGAAGGATCTCTGAAGTCCCACAGACGGAAGGTGGTGTCCCGTGACGATGTCACCACGAGACGCTGGGTGGGATGTGTACAGCAATGCGTGAGCTCTTGGTCGTGTCCTACAATCACACATGAGAACATGTAAAATCAGACTTCATTTCCACATACACTTGGAATGAAATGCTGATGATGTTTTCCCTTTTTCCCAAACAGAAAGGAGTAATGATCATTCTGAACTTTAATCCTGTTACTGTTGTAGAAGTTTGGGAACGTGTTTGAAGGCAAAAACCACACTAATTATTTCACATTCAGTAGCGTAAGTTATTGCTGCTTAACACACCATGAACACAGCAAAAGCCTTTTGCAAGAACTAAAATTTGGGTACATTCCATTTAAACAAGTATTTTTTCATAGGTTAAATCATAAGCTTAAAAGAAGACAAATTCATGCTCAGGGGATTTATAAGACTGTAATTTTTAAAACTACTACAGCACTGAGCAGCAGATGGTACACACTCACACCCTGCTCCAGAGAAACAACTTACTTTTCTCAATGTTTTAGTATCTACAAAGAATCGCTCATATAAAAACCACCAATTTAACTTTTTTGTGAGTGAACAAATACCTGTAAGAGAATGGACAAGTTCAGAAGTCTCTACATCATACAGATTTGCTGTCCTGTCCCATGATGCTGTCACAGCTTGCTTCCCTCCCACAAGCCAGTCGGCTGCTATGACTACTCCTTGATGGCTTTTCAGTGAAGTTAATGGGGCTCTGACAGTGGGGCAATCACTGGAACCATCTCCATCTCCATCAGGTTCATCTTTATCTGATATTTCAACTTCATCCTCTCCAGACACTTGCTGTAAATGCAAGGGAAAAAACATGTAGAATAAAAGGGAAGGAACGCCTCTAAGTTACATTTTGCAATCCCCTTAATGTGAATGTGGGTAAATTAATTCTGCTGCACTCAGCCTATTCCAGTACTCACTATCAAACTCAGTTGAAGGAATATAACCAGTAAGTTAAATGCAGTTCTAATAACTCCTTTTAACAACTTGCTGATATGCAGCTGAGGGAACTGGAGTTTTTCAGCCTGGAGAAGAGGAGGCTCAGGGGAGACCTCATTGGTCTCTACAACTCCCTGAAAGGAGGGTGCAGCCAGGTGGGTGTCAGTGTCTTCTCCCAAAGAACAGGTGATAGGACAAGAGGAAGTGTCTTCAAGTTGCACCAGGGCATGTTTAGACTGGATATTAGGAAAAATTTCTTCACCAAAAGGGTTATCAAGCCTTGCAATAGGCTACCCAGGAAAGTGGTGAAATCACCATCCTTGGAGGTATTTAAAAGATGTGTAAACGTTACCCTTAAGGACATGGTTTAGTAGAGGGCTGTGACAGTGCTGGGTTAACAGCTGGACTTGATGATCCAGAGTTCAGAGTTTTTTTCCAATAGAAATGATTCATGTTTCTGCTTCATTTTAAAATCTCCTCCAAACTCTTTAGTTCTGAGTATCAGACCCCTTTACGATCTGGTAAGTGTATTGCCCTAGAGTTTCATTGCAGCACATTATCAAGTGACTTGTCTCCTTTCAATTTTTAAAGGAAGCATCTAACAGGACACTATCTATGTCAATCTTTGGGAAGTCAATAATTTACAGGCATATTTTTCTCCATTAAAAATAAAATCATTACAGCAATATATGTCTGTTGGTCAATTCAGTCATCATGCAGTGCTGATGTAAACTGGATGCAAAATAAATTATTTTCCTCATCATTAAACATCATTCTCTGAACTCCTTTTACACTTACACAAGACAAAAACATCTTTCTTTTATGTTACTTGGGAGTCACACGGGAGTGGAAAAGATAACATTTATATTTTCTTTCAAAATGGAAATGCCAAATCAAATAAACTGAATCAAACATTTTCCATTCAGAAATCTATCTCATATTATAGAGTCAACTCTTGCCCCTACTTAGCCTACTGAGAAGCTCATGCTATAAACTATGTTTTCTCCACAATTTAGTAAGGCTGCTTTTAAGTAAAACAAGCATTTGACAGGCTAGAGTAAATACTGATGAAATAAAGGCCTGGGGACAACAAAATCAGACAGTCTGATGTGAGCTGGCAAGGGTTGATTAGAAATCAATAAAGACTCGATTAAATAAATGCCAACATTACAGGTCTTTACTATCACTTTTTAATCCATTAGCAGCTATAGCTAATACAGTTGCCTCAGTAAGTTACACTACAAAAATTTAACCAGTTTAAAGAGAACTTCATTATTACAAGAAAGAAGTTATTCGACTGTTCATTTATAGTTCATTTACACATTTACTACCTTGAATAAAAAGTCAATTCATCTACTTGAAACTGCAAACTCTATGCTGCACCAAATGGCACCAAATGCCTTTGAAAACATGAAGGGAGTCTATTTTCAAAGTAAAGCTGAAATACAGCTGTTAAACTAAAACCTTAAAATCCCACCTTTGGCAGTCCTGAAATCATGTAGTTTTTAAATTATGTGTAAATTTAACATTCAATCTTATAATAAAACCTCTATCTGATGAAATTGCTGTGCAATTAGTTTAGTTGCAGGAAGTTGATTGCTTACATTGCAGTCTGCAGTAGGCTGAGGTGTAGGCAACTGTACTATGTATCTCCAGATGTGAGCTGTCTGGTCTCCAGATGCTGCACAGGGGAAAAGAAGCAAAAAAAAAAAAAAAAAAGAGAGAGAGAGAGAATAAATAGGAGTATTTCCATGGGCAATAAAAACAAGCTTTAATATTACATTTACTGTCTAATACTAAGTTGCATTTTTTCCTAACGACACCATTATGAACTTTATGGTAAACAAGTCTCAACCTCTGAAACATAACTCATTATGCAAGATATAAGCAGCTACCTAATTAATCACTCCTACAGTGAAACATGCACTTGAAAACTACACATCAGAACACGAGTCTCACCACTGCTCAATATGCAACATTTGAAGAAGACATTTAATACATCACCAGATATTCATTTACTGATTCTCAAAATACTGGGGCTCTTTAATCAATGATTTCTTCCATTAAATGTTTTTACCATGGTTTTAATGAGAAACTCAAAATAGCAAGTGTGAAGCTATTCCTCTTTTGCCTTAAACAGCTCAGTTTAACTAGTAGCAGTATACAGCTCAGAAGGTACCGTGTGATTTTAACTCCACCTGTTTTAAAATAGACTTATTGATTATTAACTAAGGACAAACTAAGATTGTCCTTGCTATGGTCAGAACAAACATGTTCTAATCCCACACAGCTGCTCTCCAGCCATTCCTCTCCCAATTTATACTCAAGCTCAACATTACTCTGTTTTAGCTGCAGCATCTGGCACTGGAACTTGTTAAATTTCATCCTGTTAATCATCATCCAGTGCTCTCACTGATTTGGATCCCTCTGAAAGGCCTCCTGTCCCTCATGAGAATCAGCAGCACCTCCCAGTTTGACATCACCAACAAACTTGCTAACAATGCATTCAGCTCCTGCATCCAGGCCACTGATAAATCTATTGAACAGGGCTGCCCTAGAACTGATTCCTGAGGAACACCACTGGTGATTCTTTGCCAGCCAGATGCAGCCCTATTTACTACAACCCTTTGAGCTCTGCCCTTCAACAGCTGCCCACACAGCACACCATGAACCAGCTCATACCACAGCTGGACAACTTGTCCAGAGCACTGTGAAGGACAGTACCAAAACCCTTACTAAAAAAACCAGAAAAACTTAATCCACCACATTCCCTTCCTCCACTAGGCAGGTCACCTTATCCTAGAAGGATGTCAAATTAATTAAGCAGGATCTTCCCTTTATGAATCCATGTTGACAGTGCCTGCTGACCACATTATTCTTTAAATGCCTTTCAGCAGTACCCAGTATAATCTCCATAATTTTTTCAGGAACTGAGATTGGATTGACAGGTCTGTAGTTCCATGGGTCTTCCCTCATTCCCTTCTTGTAATACTGGTGTAACATTAGTCAGAAGGGACTTCTCTAGACTCCCAAGAACTTTAGTAGGTAATCAGGAGGTATCCTGCCATATTGCCCACCAGTTCTTTGAGTATTCTGGGATGAATTCCAGAACATTCTGCTGATGTATGATTCTAAGTGTCTGGTTTGGAGCAGGCAAGCACAAATGACAACATGACATGAAAAACACAGATGGCAAGATCTAGCTCTGATTTGTTATGCCTTCAAATATAAAAATAATTCAATCAAAAAGGCTGCTGACAAAGCAATAGGGAGAGAGGCTACAACCACAAGAAATTAGCAAATTACACTTATTTTCCATCAAGATTAATATACTTAACATATGAAAAAATTTTACATACCTGTAAGAGCCACTTGCTCAGTGGGATGAAACTTTATGGAGTTTACTGTATGAAAAAAACATAAAGTTTTAAGTTTGTATACTAAAATAATTCTTTCACAATATTTTATCATTAAAAGCATTGAAAAATCAGGTCATCTTAAGTTTTCAGCAACTTTTGGTAGCAATCTTTTAGGTGATATAAAAGCGTAGTATCAAGGAAAGCAGCTACAACTGATTATACAACAACACATTTTCTAGCAAGTTATTTCTTGAATATAGTACAAGTGGTTCATGTTAGAGAAGATGAACAAACTATATTCAAATCATATGTAAACTGACAGGAGATAGTGCTCTGGACTTCCATAAAGAGAATTTATGTATTCATAATTATTTCTAATTTAATGAAAATTTACTGTATGTTACCATCAACATTCTGCTTATTACTTAGTATTGCAAGAACAAATGCCTGAAAACATGATGCAAGTAACACCAATCAAATTTCAGTCCTGCAACCATATGTAATCAAAACATGATGTCCTGCAAGAATTCTATCAACCAACAAAGCTCTGCATTTCATTTCAGTGCACAAGATTCTGTTCAAGACAGAATTTAGAATTAATTTCCATCCATTATACAAGTAAAATAGATGCATATGTTGTCAGGAGAGCATGGTGTAATGAGTCTAAAAAGATACTCCTTAAACTGAACTAACTCTCAGCACCAACTGCTGGCATCCAAAACCTTTGTACCATTTCAAATCAACTGTCAAATGAAAAAAAAAAGGTTTTATTACATAAAAAATACATTCTTTCTATTATCATTTATATATGTATATAGTTATATAAAATTTATATAAAATATAATTTGTTGTTGTTATTGTTCAAACACAGTTGTTTAAATGCAAGTTAGAACTTAGTATTTTCATAATTATCCAAATAGCAATTTTTAAAAACTACCAGTTCAAATGAGTGAAGTTTTCAAACATGACTTTATAAAAGTTAAAGGTCCATGCAGCAAACAACCTGAGCTATCTGAAGGCATTAACATTTTACCAATTGTTTCTACGCCTTTATCTTTGTGCTGTAGGAGCTAAAAGTCATGTAGCAGGAAAAAAAAGTACAACTCACACCCGAAGCAGTTCTAGAGAACTTAATTCTACTTGTACCTTTGCCACAAAGTTTGGTTAATAATTCAGCACATCACACAAACAATCCTGGTCAATAACTGGGTTCCTCACTTTCCCAGGGTACAATCACTCAAAGTGCTCAGTTCACAACAGCAAGTTAAAGCTATGGAAAACCCCTCCAGTTTTGGTCCATAAAATCCTGTATTCTAACTCATTAAGAGGTAGAAGGGGATTAATCAAGTTCTTGTCAAATTGGACACCAAAAATTAAGATTAACATCAAAAACATTCACTGCACTGTACCTCCCCACTTAAAGAGGGGTTTAAAAAACAGTTTCCACAATATTCATACTGGTATAAAGAAAGAAATACTGAAATAAAGAAATAAATAAATTAATTAACTGACTTAAAAACAAGATCTTTGTATTATGCAGCAAATTATATATGGGATCTTAAACAAAGTAGTGCAAAAAGATATTCATCCAGCATCTGTAATTTCTAACCCAAATCTAACACAGATCCTGCAAGACAGCTAATTTCTGATTATATAAACTTCTTTTCTTCTCCACATGCACGAGGCCACAATGAGTTCTGACATTTAACTTCTGAGTGTCATAACTGCACCTATGAATTTCTTTATATGGATTTATTTACTCATTTAGCATTTGCAGAACTGTCTTAATGTGCCTCTCCAACAAAGAATCATATTACAAAACGTTCTCTGTATGAAAATTAGTGGAACTTCACAATTGACTTGTTAATGATTTTGGCAAACCTGCAAGTGAAACCACAATAAACATTTCTGTAGCCAGCCAAAACACATTTCCCTTTCCCATGCTCTGTTCCCAGTTTTCACAACATGCCCTTATCTTACCTGAGCCGACATGCCCTACATACTTGACAAGGCACTTCCCTGTTTCTATGCTCCACAGCAAAGCAGTGTGATCTACAAAGATTAAAAAGCAGTTGTAAATAGTTAAAAACGTATGTTTTTCATTTTTACCCTTTCAACAAACAAGTTATCTTCCACTGTAGCACATACCATATGAAACAGATTTTAAATGTAGAACTCTTGACTACCACCTTATATACAAAATGTAACATTTTCTTACCATTGCACATATCTCCTCCAAAAAGTAAAGTTTGCTGTCCTAATTAGATTAATTTGCAGCAAGTATTGAAAGGCAAATTCTACTTTTGCTATTCTTCCTAACTTGGTTATATACATCTGTATAATGCTCCAGCTCTGTATCATGAGACTCAGAAAAAAACAGAGAAAACATCCCATGGTGAAAAAAGCAGCCACTACAAACAGGAATTCTATGCACAATCCATTTACTTCCTGCATGGAAATCCTGAATCCATACAGGTCACTGCAGAGCACTAAAAAATTAATTTAAAAAGGAAATCACTCCAAATGCCACTCCTTTATCCTGCCACACCCAAGAATAAATAATTTAAGTGAATAGTACCTTAGAGCTGAATTGGAGAACGGCTGTTTCCAAGTTAAATCAGGACAAAGACAAGATGTCCCACACAAAGACAAAATATGTCCCCTCAGCAGGCACATAAAAATTGTACCATTTCGCTCAAGAAGCAGAGATTTCTGGTCCGTAAATATTAAAGTCTAGTCAGTATCTTTGGATTCTGTTCCAGTTTCAAAAGAATGTCATTTCAAATTGACTGATTCTATCTGGTTATTTTTTATTTCCCTAAAAATTTTTCAAAGCTACACAAGTCTCTACATTGATTTTTGGACTATAATAGATTTAGTAACTTGTTCATTAGTACTTGTACCCTCTTAAGTGGAAGGAATAAATCTAATAAAGAAAAAAGGACTGAAAATTAAGATTTTTAGCTGTCCCTGTGTTCTGAGGCAAAAGACAGAATACAAGAATACAAGAATATGCAAACCACATGCACAGCTTCTATAAAACAAAGACTAAACGGCTCTAGGCTTGAAAGCCTGCAGGGATCTCTGTACCCAGCTGTATGGAATTCTGTGCCAGAGACCTCCCCAAGCAAGAAGCTTCCCAGCCCACCCACCCACCCCACCCAACATGCCAGAGCTGACTAAGGAGAGTGTGACATGCATGGAAGAGAACTGGCACATACTTTAGAAAGACCAATAAGTATGCTTGAACCTTCTAAGGGAAAGGAAATTGCAATTTTAATAATTTTTCAGCTACAGAACTTTCTTAGAAGGACTCTTTCAGCGTGGAGCTCAGTTTTCAAGTATGCTTTGGATCTGTATTTGCTATAGCTTAGGGACTTAACCAGAATTTTCTAAATATTCAAGCAACACAAAACTTTACCAGCAGATGCAGTTCCCAACACCACTGGCTGAGTTTTCGCGACACTGACATCCCAAATACCATCCCTGTGGCCAACATATTCCTTTACCAGCTGACAGATTGCCCTTGATGTTGTAGTTTTAAAACTGGATACAATCTGAAATAGCAGAGACACCAACAGTTTTTTCCACATCGATCCAAGTAATTATCTCACAAATAAAAATATATATTAACTTTTCCATGATTCTTTAATGTTCTGACAAATCACTGTTGTCAAAAAATTGACATTTGATGGCAGGAAAGTGAGTTTGGATGCAAATATACCTCTTTTTTTTTTCTTTTTTAATAGCAGCCCTTTTACACAACTCAAGATAAACTATTCTGTACTACAATAATGCAATCTTATTGGAATAATGAATTGTACAAATGCAGAGTGCATTTCCCATTCAGTCTGGGTAAGGATTTAATGAAAAAAAAAAAAAAAGGAAAAGACCAAACCCAGCAGAAGGCCTTAAAACTTTCCTTGCCTATTCCCAAACAAATACATCTGGTAACTCAGACAGTCCCTGCTAGCCAGTGTAATATCTTGGAAAAAAATGTACTTATTATATAATTCTAGTAAAACCCAGAAATATTCCAAATTAAAACACTCACTGCTGTTTTTCTTTAAAACTGCACAAAGCTAATAAAATCAAACATCAACCTGAGAGCATATGCCTGTTTATTTGTGTAATGAAGCTTTTAAAAAAATATGTCAAACTCATCTGAACATTTGATAAGCATTCTCCCTCAAAGCAAAGCTATTAGAGGAAAAACAGAGAAGACTCATTAAATCCAAATTACTATGTGCATAAGTAATATCAGATGAAAGGAAGGAAAGTCTAGAAAACAGTAAAAGTTATAGTAAAATTATAGTGCAGGAATGCTCAAAACACTCAGCATCTACAGAAAGGAAGCAAATTGCAGAAATTCTACATTTTCAGATAAAGGCAAGTGCAATATTAAAAAAAAATTCTCTTGCTGAACACTCTGAACACCTCCAGAGACAACTGAAATCAAGAGTCATGAAAGATGGCTTTAAAAAGTTAAGACCACCATTACAAATACCCTATTTTTACTCCACAAGTGTTGAAGCTCATAACTGTTCTTTGAGAAAGACTACCTCAAAAGCTTTATTGAATTGGAACAAAAAGACAACTTCAATTTATCAGTGTTTTCCTCAGCATGGAATTACAGGCAGGTATCTGACCAGTTAAATCAAAACCTTTAAATGCTTCCACACAAATCACATTAAGACTTATCTACAGCTTAGTAAAAGTTAGAAAGTTAATTAAGTCTACATTTCAGATACAATAAACTAAGGTTAAAATCCCATTAGTTTCTGGTATTAAAATAGAAGGTCTTAAGTATGTCATTAAAGCAAATTACTGCAAAAAAGGTTTTTAAAGCTAAAAGACAACCTACAAGAGCATTCCAAATCCTGAGCATGTCAACTCTCCAATGATGAAATGATAATGCCCTATTTGAATTCCAAATTACCAGTAAATATGCATTTTGATTTCACAGCAGCAGAAGGAACAGTCATTGCAGATGCATTGAAAAGAAAATGGGCTAATGGAAAAGATTATTAGTTCAACCTTACTGAAGAATTTCCTAAATTTTGAACACAATCCTACAGATGCAACTTTCACATTGAATACAGTCTTTAAATTAAATGGACTCGTGTATGAGAAGTGGAACAGCTGAAATAAGTACTAACAGGAAAGGTTTATCACAGCACTCAGCTCAAAATCCAAACTTGGTATTTTCCAACTCAGCCCGTGCTTGATTCTATCTTTCTAATGTTCAGTCAAACCCTCACACAAAAGTTTTCTAGGAGAAACTGTCCCCTACCCATCAACAAACACAGAATTTCCAAAACTGCTGGACAGTGACTTCACTGATCATTTAATGGCACGGATGTAAAACTCCTTTTGAGTATCAGCAGTCTTTAATTAAAACAGAAGAAAAGAGTTCAAGAACATTATCAAACAGTAAATATCCTGATACAGGTATTTACTCAACACACATTTTTTCCATGCTTTTTTTTTTTTCTTTTTTTGCTGCCCTTCACTTCACATACCAGGAATTGGATAAATTAGACAGGGCTTGGACTACTTCCTGCTTTGCTAAACACACATAAACAATGTCCCAAGCCAGGAGAGGAGATATTTAAAGAACACGCAACTTGCTAAAAAGAGGTTCTGAAAAAAAAAGAGGTGCAGAAAATTTCTGAAGTAACTTCTGTAGATCATCATATACAAATAAATGACCAAGCACATCCTGAGTGTTTCACCTTTGTCTGTCTTCTTTCTTAAATTTATTCAGTTTCATGTACTTCCTTCTACAAAGATTTTTTTTTTAATAGGGAAACAATTGTTTACTCTGTAAACAAGTGAAAATGGAACACAAACTGAAACAACTGCAGGGCAGACAGAGTGAGGCACCCTGTAACAAAGTTTCTTAGACAGACAGGGCACGTTAGAAATACTGAAAACTTGATCTACTCGGGACCAGTCCAGCAGTATTACACCATGCCTGATGAACAGAATGTCCCATGAAGCAACTTTAAGCAGTGAGGTCAAAACTACATAGTACAAAAAGTTTTATTCCTTTTCACTACTGGGGGAATAAATACATTATTTCAAGAGTCTTTATCCTGATCTAGACAAATCAGAGATCCTGGAATTTAGTTTGGATGGAGCAAGTTACATCATTTCAGTTTATTTTAGGACTCTGCATAAACAATTGATGCTTCCCTGATGTTGTAACAGCTTTCATAAGCCAAGGATCGTTAACAGTAGTCATTACATTTTGTTAATATCAAAACATGGATTTCATATAGTGATCCCTGCATCTAAAACCAACTGCAGTTAAATTACAGAATCTTGTCCATTAAAAAAAATTCGTTTTAAGAGTACCAAGTGTTAAATCCACTCTACCTCTTCAGGATTTGGACACTGGTGGATAACACTTGCTGCGAAAACGATGCTTTTCTGAAATGAGTTTTGCCAACTTGATATAGTGATGAAAAGTATTCCAGTATGGGAAGTTCATATGAAGAGCTTGAATTAAGAATGTTCACTTCAGCATTTTCCCCAAGAGAATTAATAGATTGTTTTAGTATTTTTACCAAGTCCTAGTATTTTTTACCAATATTAAGCCAGTCAAGGATCAGCCTTCTCATTAGATTAAGCATATAGTGAAAGGTCTTTTCAGGAAAAAAAATTAATTCTATATGCACTGCCAATCTGAAAATGTAATTGTGTGAAATTACACAAAACAATTGGTTTGTGAAACTGAAGTGTCTTCTAATTTTCCACGGGCAAAAAAAACCCCAATCAATCCAAAAAAACCACACATCCAAGAAACTTCCTGTATGGTAGTAGTATAAAGGAAGGGCTGAAGAGAGAACTTGTGATCTACTACCCCAGTGAGTTTGGAACACAACCATTTTGAGAAACAGCATTGTTCATTCAATGCTCATAGAACATAAGAACTTCAAAACTGTTGAACTCTTAAAACTCTAAACGTGTTTTTTCTAAGACAGGGTATTGGGGAACTACATCCAGTCAGGGTACAAATGGAAAAATCATGGTTTGTTAGAAAGTTATATTCTTTCCTAACTCTGCTATAGTCTATCTCTCTGTGGGTCAAGAGACAAAAAGTGACAGCTTTGACTCTTCTGTGTAGGAAGGAAGGAGACGTCAAAATAAAGCACCTCTGTGAAGTGCATTAAGGTTTCAAATAACACAGAGATGGACAGAAATGCTCTCAGTTTTATAATTTCCCTCAGCTCCTGTCTACTCCTCAGTAAATTCTGACTCAAAGTTGTGAAAAGAAACACATCAGCACATGCAGACATTTGTTGGCTACCAATTGATACAAGAGATGTGCATAATGTTCAGGTATTAAATCCTTCACGCTCCACTACTCATGGCTGCTTTGCTGTGCATGCCTATCAGTTCCCCAGGAGTCTCCACCTCATACTTCCCAGCTTCTCACACTGAAGCTGTGAGGACTGCCTGTCTTGCCCAGGAAAAAAATACAAGTGCTACATTGCAAGAAAGTAAAAGAAGGAAAAGAAGGTATTAAAACCTGCCTTAACCACCCCCCCCCCAAAACAAACAAACAAACAAAAACCCAAATAAACAAACAAACAAAAAAACCACTAAACAAAAAAACCACAAAACACAACACTACGCTAGAGGGTACTAACTCATAACTACATAGTCCCTATTAATATCATGTTGTCACTATTTAAGTGGTCTCATTAAAGAATTTGCAAGTCCTTAAGTCTTAAAAGAGGCACCTTTATGCATCAAATTGACTAGAATAAAAGTCTGAAAAAACAGAAAATAAAAAGGAGACCGAATAAACCCCAGTAACTTCAGTCTATTTCACTACTCAATTCTTCCTCTCAAACTTCCATACTCGAGGTATTTCCAAGACACCTACACCACATATCAGCCTTATTACAGGTCACCACAGAGCTGCTATACAGCTGGTTCACATACCAGATTCCACTGTGGTTTTCTTGCATTTTATTTAACCTTAATACTGTATCATTAAATGACTCTGGTGTAGAGAATAAAGAGCAGTAGTTAAACTCTCTGCAAAACGTGAAAAAGGGAGGAGAGCAAGGAAAACAAAAATACCAGGCTGATGCAGATGTACAGAAAGGTTAACTGTGCCAAAACACCAAGCAAAAAAAACCAGATCACTAGCTACTGATGAGCAAGGCTTGCAACATAAAGGAAACAAATTGTTCCAGTCTCATAGTTAAAAATAAAAATTATTTTTAAAAAGAAATTTGTAATATACACAGTGGTGCCTACTTAAACCCCCATTTCAACTGCAATGCCCAAACCCTTTTTCAGAAATCCACTAGCATGTTCTCTATTTCCCTCATGAAACAGAATTATTTTTTTAGTTCTATTTACAAAACAGCACTCCCACATAGATGTGTGCACACTCTCTCCCCTCCAACATACCTTCTTCAAAAAAAGACAAGCAATTATTGTAACAATATCACATGGTATGGTTGAAATAATGGGTCATTGGTGAATCCAAGATAAACATACTGCTCCTTAGGAGGCAGATTTACTTACAGACCAGCCTTGCCCAGCTTAAAGAAACCACAATTTACAACTTTTAAAACACATTCACATTAGTCTCACGGGTACAGATGGATGAGTAGAGATTTAATTAGTCTCATACCTTGCTAGTAGATGCCTTGTAAGTTGTCTTTAATTTCTGAGAAAGCTGACTGGTACTATGACTCGCTGTTGAGACAAATAAATTCAAAGGAAGATATTTCAAATACAGCATTAGCTATTTTGTATAAGTAACTGATATTAATTCCCTTCAGTAACATTCTAACTTTTGGTCAACAAAGTACAAAAAAGTGAATTCAAAAATACTGATTTATGATTCTTTGTGTCTCTCTTACCTTTTGTTTTCAGTTGTCCTTTGCTCAGTTCAGCACCATCAACTGTCTGTCCTTCACCCGCCAAGCGCTCATTCAGTGTATCAATCTCCCTACGCACTAAGAAATCCAGAAATTCACATTACTAAGAAAAACTGACTAGCATTATTAACAGCATTAACATACTATTTAAGAACTGTTACAGTTCTTAACTGTTACAGTTAGTAAGGTATTTTATGCTAAGGAAAGGAGATCAACTGGGATTTTATAAAAGCAGGTCTCGCCAAGACATAAACAAATAGTTATGCTGAATTTTCCAGAGATCAACCTTGACCCAGATTCCACACAAAGTATTGGTGGATTCTAATTACTCGTACTAATAAATGAGACTAAGGTTTAACAAAACCATTTCTGTGAAATATATGGCCCATCTCTATTGAATTAAACCCAGCAGAAGACAGAAAACCTGTGGCATCTTAAATATTTTAGCCACAGAATTAGCACATCCTTTCTTAACAAGGGTTTTATTAATCACAAATAGCATCCTCCCTGAATACTTGTCTACTACTATAGTCTCTCAGGAAAGGTAATGCTGCAAATTACTATTTTTTATACTTTGGAATTTATTTTTTTAAAAAACTATGTACAATAACTCCAGCACTAGTGTAGGAATTAGACCAAGAACAAAAACTATTAGACTGAGCATGAGAAGAGAAAAATTTAGAAATTGTCAGGGGGATGAAAAGAGATCACAATCATAACTAGAGCTGTGAGGCGAATAAAGTAGATAAAGAAATGGAAATTAAGGAAAACAATCATACTCTGGAGAGTGCAAATCCACCACTTGTCCTCTGACAAGCATTTCTGAAGGGTGGGGAGGGAAACTCTACTTTTCTTGCTACCAGCCAACTTCTCAGCAGGAGGCCAAGAATTCAGCTGAGAAAATTGTCACTAAAAAATGTGCACTTTTGATGACAGCCTTAAATCAACACGATTTCAGATTTTAAGACAATAAAAAACCCTTAAAATTTCAAAAAAGCATGTTTTTAATAACATGAGTGTCTGGTTTAACTGTGGGAACTGATTAGGTGTGAGAAAAAAATTGACTTGGATCCAAGTCAGACAGATTCCACAATTCAGAAGCCAAGGCAATGCAACACGGCTTAAAATTCCAGCAAGAGAAATTGAGCAGAGGCTTTACTGTATAGGCCTGTGCTAGTTAACTTTGGATCCTCTTACATCACCTTGGATCACTTACATGATCAGACGACTGCACTGTCATCAAACAAATATCTTTTTCAGATAACACTTGGAATTTTTATCTGAGTGCTTGACTTCAATACTCTTGAACAGCTGCAGGTGCTGGCTATGCAATGTGTAAGCCATTTGATCCAAAACCATCCCATTTTACACTTTTTCAGGCAAATCACTTTTCCAAATTTATTTGCTAATATTACATCATTAAAATTAAGCCTGTAAATATAAAACAAAGCCAAAAAACTTCAAAGCCTGGATGGAGTTTCTGGAGATTAACATAACCAGAGCCTACAATGATAAGGAGACAGACCCTTCAATGGCTTTGCCCAAGATTAAGGGGAGGTGACAGACATCAGTTCTCACTGCTTGTGTCAAGAGCTAAGAAATTATTTTTCTGAAAAGCTACAAACTCCATCTTTGGCTACAAGTTCAGAACAACTCCTAAATTGCTCACAGAAAAGCTACAATAATTATACTACAATATCCAATGTAAGTGTTTTAATTAGTGTTACTATAACCTAAATACAAACAATTCATAAGTTGCCAGAAAAAAACAGATACTCACATTCCAAATTTTCAATATACAGGTTTTCAAATTCCCGCTCTATTTGTCCAAAAAGTTCAAGGAGTGTATTCCGGACAGCAGATGGTAACTTAGAATCCTAGGAGGCAAAATATTGGGGGGTTATATTTTTCTTTATATATATTTGATAAAATTACTCTTTAATCTTGAACTGATTTTAACAGTTATATCAATGTCCCAGCAAGGAGGGAAATTAAAACTACTTCTAGTGGAGAACTCTGTGCATCATAAAGTAATTCATTCTAAGTCTTTCTCTTTCAAGGGATAGAATTCAAATCATCTATGGTATTTGTTTTGGTTTTCTTTACCAGAAAAAAATTATAAAATCAAGATACATGTACAATTCATTTAAAAAAAAAAAGAAGTGAGAAAAAAAATTATGTTTAATATCAATATGTTTCCAGTTCAAGATAAAAGAATACCTTTGTTTGATAAAGTAATTCAAAGGCTGACTATGCAATGGGTTAGAAAGTTGTGAACACAAAGCATCTTGTTACCAAAGCTTAAGACAAACTAAAATTTTAAATGTGCTGTTAACATTTGCCTACTTTTGTCACTAGCCATAACTAAGTGTGAAGAAAACTACAATTTCTAGTCCTTCCCTCCTCAGATTTTACTCGAGCATTCTATTCTCCAGTTGCTCATAGACCATAATATGTAAATTGGCTTATTACACTTACTATTTAGCTAGGTAGCCAGCTATAACCTTCTTTTAAAAAAGCCTTCACTTCACTGAGTCACCTTCCGCCACAGCCCCGGGAATTGTCTGCAGGCACAGCGGGAGAGGGCAGCCATCACCCTGGCTGTGTAAGTTATTCCCCAAGTTTTAAACAGAGAGCAAGAGGAACCACTCATAGCCAGGATACAGAGCACACCTGCTTTGTGCATAATTCAGTTTTACACAGGTTCACAGCTGGTTTAAGTGTGGCACTGTGCTGGAAGAAATGGGACCATGTTCCTCAAGCCTCCCTACATCATTCCTTTCTTCATCTGCCTCTCCCTTGATAGGGTACTTCTGTTCAGGTATTCACAGACAGCCAGAAGCACAACAGATCCTAATTAAAACCAACTTGAAACAAAACTGATTAAACAAAAACACTAAATACATTAAACACTATTAAAAGAAACACTGAAGTTAGAAGAATTATTTCTAATTCAATTACCCAATAATTTCATACAGCAAGGTTATAGAAGAAACTAACTTGTCCTACAACTTTTGCAACTAAAAAGGAGATATAGAAGTTTTTCAAGCCACTTCCCAAAGCCTGAAAGTATAAACAAATCTGAACTTGTAATGAAGTAATCAACATAGTAAAATGCATTAACTTTCTTTCCTCTCTTTAAAGTTGGGTTATTAAAACAGCATAACAATAATAATATAATTATAATATAATAGTAATAATGTTATCTCTTTATCTGCAGAAGTTCTTAGCTAGATCTCATGCAGTTCACAGGTCCACTGTGAAGGAGCATTAATACTCTCTACTTTATAGAATCTGCCACCTAGCTGCTCAAGGTCAACAAAACCAAACACAATGATAGATAAAACATTTTAAACATATATATATTACAGCATAATACACTTAGAGTTTGCTAAGAAACATGAAAACAGCTTAACATTTTGGTTTACTATGCAGGGGTGTCAGCATGTCTTGACCTCTCAGCTGCCCTTCATGCCTTTCCTGAAGTAAGGCTGCAGTAGTCCCAAATGCATAAAGAGTTTTCTATCCAAGTACTTGCATTCTCCAACTTCTAGATGACTAGAAGCAACAATCTAGGCTCTGTTAATTTCCAGAAAACCAATGCTATGATTTACTGAAAAAATAGATTCAATTTTAAAAAACAGTCACAACACTGAGAAAATGCCAGGATTTCCCCTTAGGTTATCTGCAGACTTCAGTGTGAGGTTTCTCGTTGCCAAACTCCATTTGTATTTCAAACCAACTGTCTGATAAAAATCAAGTTTTGCATCATCTATGCCAGTCCCACACTAACATTGTGTAGTCAATTTGACAATAAACACTTTTTAAACTTGTATTTGCTTATCTTTGCCAGTATTGCTTCTGACAGAAGCCTTACCTACAGGTAATCTCAGAATTTTTAGGTGCAACACTCCAAGTCCAGATTGCACCCACTACACCGACCCAATTAAGAAAGCAACAGAAGCAGTGGCTGCTGTTCTTTCCCTTAAGTTTAATCCCAGAATAGCACACCTTCATTTCAGCCAAGCAAAAAAAAAGAAAAAAAAACCCACACAAACAAAATCTGAGCTCACACTTCTGTTAGGCAGGCAGTATTTGTTTACTTTATGGAAAGGAATGTAGAACAGCGTTCCAACTAATATTTTCCCTATCAGAGTCATCATAAGAAGTATTTGGTTTATTCATATTTCTGGGTTGCTACTATTCCAAACACAAACTTATGAAAGCAAGAATCAATGTTGAGCTTTTTCTTTTGCAGGTAGGGGGAGAGGTGCAGTGAATAAACAGGCTGGGGTTTACACTGTTTTATGGCTTTATCATTCATGTGAGAACACACAGAAGCTGATGAACTCCACAGGTCTCAACACAACCTGAAACACTGTCAACATTTATATCAACGATTTCCAAAGGCAGTGAGCACTTAAAAGCAACAAAATCAGTTGTTCCTGCAGCTTTACTGGACATATTTCAATATTTAAGTTCTTCCCATAGAAAACACATTAAAAAGTGATGCAAGCTTCCAAGCATCACCTTACCTGCCCTTCCAACATGTCTCTCTGCAGCCCCGCCCGTTCCTGCTCGGAACTGTTGGTTCTTCTGATGGAAAGGCTGTGTGATTTACGTTTCTGCTTTGCTTGGCGAGCAGATGCACAACTTCCACTTTCTATTGGCATTACTTCAAAAAAACAGCTTCACAGAGGCTCCTATGGTAAACTAAGGACAAGTATTACACATTACAAATTGCTTTGCCAAACCACAATTTAAATATTTTTCTCAAAATGGAAGTATTTAGTTCTACTAAACTCTGGAGTTGTTTGGGTTGTCATTAAAAAGAAATCCCTCTTACTTACAGCTGTTCTTCAAACAACATTAAGTTCAAAATGATATGCATATATGTAAATAGAATGGAATTGCTTCTGCATTATTTATTCATTAGCTAACAAACCTCCACAAAAGGAAAATAAATTCCACTTCTTTGCTCATTTTGGAGAACACCAGCAGAGACAGCCCCAAAATGCTTCCCGGAAACAACTATTGTGCATACTATAGTTCACTGAAATGCATGCAAAATTAAAACCCTGCTGGAAAATGAAAGCAAACATGGTAATTTAGGGACACTGTCAGGTTAAAAATGTATTATTCAACTTCAAGTGTTACTATACAAAATTTAACAGATGTCCTCGTTCAGACATAAGCAGAAATTAATTTTCATGACAGAAGTTCTGAAAACTACCTTCCACCATTTTTGTCAGCTCATGGTTTCATTTCCCTTAATAATGAAAGTGCCCATGAACTTACTAGAGAGTAGTGAAAGTGCACCTGACACTTGACAGGCTGCTGGTGATGTGGTTCATTTCTGTCACCTTCATAAAGCCAAATATATGAGTTTCAATATGCCTAAAAACACCTGACAGTATCGCCAAACAGTATTACCATGTATGAGCTACTGCTTCCCCTGTTTAAGAGAAATCAAATTATGTCTGATTTATTGCATAAATGTGGAGAATATATATGAAAAATCAAATTATGGTTGATTGCATAAATATGGAGAATATGTTCTTTACTGTCAAAATCTTATTTTTACAAACATTTAATTATAGGATTTTTTAAAAATTTAAACCCAACATTCAACAGAAATTTTTTGTTTCATGGGGTACCAGTTGTTAAACATTTCAAATGTTTCAGGATTGATTACCCAAAATTTTTCAATCATGCACAATGGGAACAAAATAAAAATTCATTCTCCAGCATAAATAATTTCTGAAACAACAATTAAAACTTAAAATAGGTGCAATAGTCTGCAGAGAAATAGGAGAGCAGAGTTGGCAAAGCTAACCAGGCAACTGAGCTTCCTTTTAAACAAGTCAATCAGAGAAAATTTAAACCAAACCCAGGGCCACTTCCAATTTAAGATCCACCAACACGCTGGATCTCACGCTAGGAATGAGCACCATCACTATTAACAAGATCAAGCATTAACCAGTTCAAGGTTTCACATGGTGTTTGCAGCTTTTTAACAGATCATAAAGCCAAGGAAAAGCATACCTTATTAAAAACACAGTATGCATCATGAATAACAAGAGCTTGAAATCTCCTTTGGGTTTTATATCACAAAATGAAAATGTATAAAGATACAGAAATTTGTATCAAAAATGAGACTAGATTTAAGATTTTAATTCTCATCCATCCTTATTAAAAAACTTGGTATTTTAATTAGCTTTTTGAACAACTGAGTTCCAGTAACCTGACACCAATTCCATAGTGAATCTAAAATAAAATTTAGGTTGTACCAGTGACCTGTACTGTACTACAAATTTTTTTTTCATATCCTCTGGATCCCAGAGAGTCCTCCCCTGCACCTAATCCCATTAGAGCTTTCTATGTGTGATTAATCAGTAGTAACTAAATAGCGACATTCACAAATTAAAGAAGAGACTAGAAAAAACTACCATTGGGTATTTCCCTATTTGCCTAAATTCTGCTGTTCACTGTGGCTAGATTCCTGTACACAATTTTTTAAGAGCCCATCCCATAAACAGTTATTGCCAATTTTCTGGGCTTCACTAAGTATCTTCCTGTTCATGAACATATGGTCAAGAATGAGGAACAGGTTTTCCATGCTCAACACATTTCTATTTCTTTTCAAAAGAAGATCAGATCCCAAGCACACATATATTTTTCTCCGTCTTCCAACCTGCCTCATCTCTCCCTTAGGAACCACTCTTTCCATGGCTTTCAGTTACCATATCTTGCAGTTTGGGATTACATTTTAAGGCCAGAAGCATCAGTGTGCACACAGGCAGGTTTGTTAAGACAGTTTTATTCACACATATAGCTATATATAATCCCATAAATCCATTAACACCATTTCACTTAAGATCTGGGGGTGGAGAGGGGTAAAAAAAGCCAAAAGGCAATTTCTAATCCCTGCCAGATGTGGCTCCTGAACTGTTAGACACAAAGATGTGAATGTGGCTTATGCCTTACCAGCCGTTATTTTAAGGCTCTTAGTTTCCACTTGCCCTTTCTGCCAAGCTACTTCATCTTGGACGACGTTACCAAGCAATACTCCTTTTCTAAGTGCTTAATAAAATCATAGAATGATTTGCATTGGAAGGGACCTTTAAAGGTCAATAGTCACATTCCTTTGCAATGAGCAGACACATCTTTATCTGCATCAGGTTGCTCAGATGACCTTGAATGTTACCACGGGTGGGGCATCCAGTACCTCTCTGGCCAACCTGTGCCCATGTTTCACCACCATCACTGTAAAAAATTCTTCCTTCTCAATGGTACTCTTTTAGGTTAAAATCATTATCCCTTTTCATATCACTATAGGCCCTGATAAAAATTCTCTCTTTCTCCAAAGTTCCCTTTAATATTGAAAGACCCTGATAAGCTCCCCAGAGAAATCTCTTGGGCTAGAAACCCTATCTCTATCAGCCTTATTTTTCCACAGAAGAGGTTTGCAGCACTCTGATAACTTTTGTGTTATCTAACAGGTCCACATCTTCTTGTGCCATGGCCTTTCACTGGCTGCATGCACACATTTCTGCCTCACATCTGGCTTTGCATGCCCCAGTACTCCCGGGTCCCTCTCTGCTGGACTGCTCTCAATCTGTTCACCCTCCAGCCTGCAGTGATATCGGGGACTGCTCCAATCCAAGGTACAGGACCTTGCAGCTGGCCCTGTTGAACTTCTTGAGATTTGTGTGGGACCTGTCATGGTCCCTCCGGGTGCTATCCCTCCCCTCAATTAACCAACTGCAGCACTCAGCATCTGTACACACAGATTTGGCAGCTATACACTCTAGCACATAGAATTTAAAGGGACACAGTCATATGCATGAGATTACATTTTACAGAGTGAAATTCTCACGTTCACTATATGGAAGTTTCTACTTTGGCAGCTCATGAGCAAATGGAGCAGACTGGGTAGGAAACACGGCCGTTCCTGTCTCTGTTTGGTAGCAGCACTTCACCTGCAGCCAGTGTCACTGCCAGGGACTGCCCTCTCCTCATGCAGCAGCATGACACACCACCCATGCACGTTCTGGAGAGGGCAAACATGCAGCTGTTCCCAGGCTCGGCAGGAGGGTGCACACAGCCACAGCAAAGCTGAAACCAAAGAGGCCACAAGCAGGCATGTGCATACAGAGGATGGGAAGGAGAAGCTAAGGGGAATAGCTTCACTGCCTTTAATATTATTGTTCTGAATCCCACCAAACAGCCTTACAATCTCTGAATAACGGAGCAATAATCAAGAAGGTTTTTTAGAACAAGGATTTAAATTCAGTTTTAAAATAGTGACAGTGTCCCTTTAAATATTATCTTCACTTTGACAATTTCAGAACTCTTAATTCTAATGGCAGCAGTAAGAAGCTATAGGTTTTTCAAGAGTAGATTTCACAAAAACAGATCCTTGGCAATATGATGCTAAAAAATAAGGTGCTCATTTCTAGCAGTTACCTGATTCCTTTTATTATGTAAGGTTTTCAAACAATGAAAATTACCTGTCCAGAATATCAGTGTCATGTTACATATCCTATGAAAACCATATTAAATATTGATTAGTGAAACAGTCAGTAGTACACAAACCAGTCAAAGTCTTTCAATTTTTTGAAACTTTTGTAGTTAGAACACACCAGACAACAGGAAAGGGGGAATGAGGGAAAACATAAACACATGTCAAGGCTAGGCACCAAATCCCAGTCAAACCAAATAAGAAAAAAGTGCTTCAAAACAATCCATTATATATTATTAGACAGTTATAATTAATCTTAACTTTCGAGTGTTCCAAATAGGTTCTGAAAAGAAAAACCCACTAAGGTCACTTTCCTTCTACTCAGTAATGCCCTAAGTAGGATGGAAAACCACCAAGTAGTATTGGAATCTTGCTTCCTGAATCAAATGAAGCTAAATTCATAGGAGCTAAAAATTAGCAACCAAGCATAAAAAAGGTTGAACAAAAGTACTTTCTAAGAAAAAAGGGAGAGGGAGAGAAGGAGGAAGTGTATTGTATTACTAAACTATTTTCACTAAGGGTGGCAGTTCACAAGTACTGTATTACTAAAAAGTGAGATTAAGAGACATACTGAGCTATTCTGTTCAATGAGATTGTAAAACACTACATTTGCATAGACTTCACACAATGATCTGTCAAAACCTCCAGAGAACCTTTCTAACAATGTAAATCTGCAGAAGTAGGGGAGTAAAGGATGTCCCAGAAAATATCAGGACCACAGGTGGTTACCATTTGCTGAATGCAAAGGTACTCCGGAATTTCAGATATGCTGTTTAATTAAACTCACAGGATATTTTACAGTGTGTTAAATTGAAGTTCCGCCACCTACCTTTCTGTAACAGATGTACTCAGTCACAGGAAATATTTCATCAGAGTAACAGTAAAGAGCAGATGTGTAACCAATTACTGTTTTAGTCAGCTACAACAGAGAAACAGCACCGACAAAGAGTGCATACACGGGCCTTACCAGACCTAAAAACTCACTGCAGCAATAGCTAATTGTACTTGCCTACTTCTGCTCTTAAACATAGAACAAGAAGGCTGCTGGAAGGAAAGAATTCCTGGGGTAGGCATGTTGCTGAAGCCAGAGAGAAAAGCTGCTTTAAGATGTATCCGAGCACAGACAGAACGACTACAGTATCACATTTCCTTTTTTGTTCATTCAAGACAACATACAAATCTGTAAAAAGAAAGCATCAGCAACATCTTCCCCAAAATCTCCCTGTTCCATTTTCTTTAGAGTTTAGAAATAACAATAGTTACTATTTAAATGATTGTGTCAAATGAAAAAAAACCAAAACATACAATTTTAGCATATTTGTGTGTGCTTAAATCTCTTCATCTCATGTCTCCCATTTTCAAACATGGTTTAGAAGAAAATTTCCATGTATACTACATAAAACACAAAGTCATTTTACAATAGTAACTATTGTCCAGTGCAGCACTAAAACCTTAAAATACAAATATGCCCATTAATGTAGGGGAGTATGTGGGTTCGGGTGTTTTTTTACCACAAAGCTGTGAGGGAAAGCAGAAAGAGAGGAGAATGATTACAGTTATTAAGTTCTTAATTACATGGAACTCAGTTTGACAGCATTATTCATGAGTTAAGGGAATTTAAGTATCAACATATGCCACTACACTCTTTTATTAATATGCAAAGAAATCAAATTTAAAAGAGTAAAACTTCTATTTTGAGGTCTTCAGTGAACAATTTGCTTCAGTGATGCTGTACATTCAAGTGCCATTAATTCAATGCAAGGCACAAGACAGTGCACCTGAGAAAGATCAGGTTAAACAGACTGCTTTGTAAGACTAGTTGTTTTGCTAAAGGTAAATATTTAGGAAACAGAACTATTCCAGATCATCACAGATGATGCTAGAAACAGTAATGAGTGTGCTCAAACCTTGTGAAATCCACTCAAGCATTACAACATTGATTTTTTTTTTCTAAATTTAGTGCAGCTTTCTATCAAATGAAACTGGATGTTCCTCGAAAAGGGGAAAGCAGGCATGCACCACTGAAGGTGACAACCTCCTTTCAACAGAAAGCAGAGTAAAGAAGCTGCACCAATAAATTTTAAGTATGTTATACAGCTGAAATCAAGGATAAAAACTATAACAGATTAGTGAGTACCTACTCTAAGCAAGCTTCTAACACCAACATCCAAATGTAAGCCAGCCCAGTTTTGCTGCTAGCAGGCTTTGATCTTGCTAATTCAACTGTGTCAGCAAATGCTGCAGTCACACCAAAATGCAGGGCTGACCTAGCCTGCCATACAATCTGCTAAAGAAAGAAATGCTACTCTCATCATACAAGCTTATGTTGTTTTATGCTAAACAACAATAATTAACAGACTTGGATTTTTTTTTTAAATATAGCAGAAACCTTCCTGAGTCCACTAATAATCATCAGACTAAGACCTATTTATTGCTGATGTCCTGAAAGCTTACCTGGGAGACCAATGCCACCTGTGCTGAGTGCTCATTGTTTCAACTAGTTTAAATGGTGCAAGGTACAACATACTCTTACGTTCAACACTAGTTACTAACCTATCAGTATATATTGTACCTTCTTTTATTTATAGGTACTGATTAACTGACTTTATTGAAGAGTTCAACTGACAGCATCAGGTCCTGCTAGATGACTTGCAGCTGGTTAACTCCTAAAATATGTTTGAAGGGTACTTTATTTCCTCAGCTGTTTCACAGACACTGCAGCTCCCTTGCTGCATTATCAAATCCCTAACAGCCTACAAGTAACCTACATGCAGGCACAGGCATGCAAATACAAGACCTGAGGGTGAGGAATCCTAAGGAAGTTCAAGACCAAAGGCAATTTAACCAGGTGTTTGTTCAAGGGAATACTGCACCAAGAAGCCAGAATCTTATTCTGCTAGTCTCCAAACAAATAATATTTATGTAGTTCTTATGGATGTATTGGATGAATTGCTATTATGGGCTCATTCAACCACAGTGGCCTTTAGTATGGCTCTTCATCTGGAAATATATTACTTGCCAGTAAATTAGAATCTTTTAGTTCTTAAGACTTGAACAAAAGCATGCAATTTTGACTGTAACTAAGAAGAAGCTCCTCAGGAGCACCAATAAATAATCTCTGTACAGCACATTCTTGAAGCATTACCTCATATGGTCTAGCACAGAGAGCTATGGAACCTACCAACAGTCCGTGTAAGAGCACTGTGAGCACCCAGCCTACCACCTTGAACAGCAAGCCTAAAAATAGTCAGTACATATTGCTTGAGGATGAGAAAACACAAATCCCTCTGGCTTACAAGGAGACCATCCTGATTCCTATCCATTCCTCAGTGGTCGTTCACAGAGCAGTAACCAACTCTCCCCACAGGGCTTTGAAGGGCAGGACTCCAGAAAAAGCCCCTCACCCTGGCTTTCACTTCACAAGACAACCTACTAATAATCGTAGCTCCAGGACTTAAAATTCCATGACATAAAGTGATCCTAATCTCATGTCAAATTTATAGAATGCAATACAACTTAATTCCTCCTTACTTGGCACATACTAGCTCTGGCTTGCAATTTCAGGATTTCATAGAAGTGAGATCTTCTTGTAAGACACTATCACCACACTCCCAATATTTGTCTTGTGACTGTACCAACAAACTTAAGCACTTCAGTCCATACTAAAGACTGCATACTTCAAACAACTCCAGAATTAAAGAAATAGATGGTAGAAGGACCTGTCTATATTAAAGAGGCAGTCTCACCTTAGAATCTTTAGATTTAAGATTATAAACCTAGTTCAGGAACAAACATATACATAAACAACTGGCATTAAAAAGACAATCAACATAACAGTTGGTCTTTACCTTAAATTCTAATGTTTGGTGCCACCACCTTTTCTTAAAATAATTGCCCAATTCCACAATACACAAAGCTACAGCTAAAGTTATTACAAGACAGGTTAGAGCTGACACCATGCACAAAGATTATCTCATCTAAACTAATCATTAGAAAACATACTTGTGGGTTCTTGGGGTTACACCAGCTCTCTTTCAAAAACATCAAGAAATGCCAACAGCAGATTTGCTTGGAAAGCAGTTGCAGAAATTCGCTTAAGGAGAATGATGCAGTTGTAATGATGTAAAATGGGTGCCTGAACAATAGATGTTTGTATGTCAAGGTGTACTCAATGACACTGAATCACTTCAAAGAAGCTGTTCCACCAGTTCCTTACGTAAACCTTCCAAGACATTACTGTTGTAGAAAGCCCACTTTAACCGCCATAACAAATTAAATTTGACAAGCTGGAGAAGAGAGATAAAAACACACGCAGAAGTTTCTCTTTTCTCACAAACACCAAGATGTCCTTGAGCCACAGATGAACACTTAGCTTGAAAGTTTTCCTCGGCTTTGCATGAGGAATGGAACCTAACATCCACCTCTGAATATGTCAAGTATATCTATTCTTCCCTCAATCTTATTTTCACAGGGTTTTAGCTCAGTAAAAAGAGAGAACTACTGAAGATCGCTCATTACAGACAAGTTTTATCCATCTTGGACATCCTCCCATTGCTGAAGGCCAGATCCACCCCATGCCACCACAAACGGTGCTCCCCTCATCATTTAGCTGTGCCCACTTCAGAAATTTGGGCGTTTCACGTTTACTCCTTTTGTACAGGTGTCAGAGGATATGAACTCCACCTGTAAACCACTGGGGCTCTACGCTTGGCCTGTCCTGAGGATAAGCAGCAGCACACGAACAAAGTTAGCGAGAGGAGTCTCCTCAGCAGCACCCTTGGCTTCCCTGCCCACAGACCTGGAACCAGCCCCACAGCCCCAGGCTGGGAGCGCTCAAAAACCACGACACACAGAAGAGGAAGGACAGCTTATTTTCGGTTACTCTAGGTTTTTATAAGAGAACATGCAAGTCATTTCACGCGTAAATAAAGCGGAATAGGACGCGCAGCGAGGGGGTGCCCGGGCAGAAGCCCCGGTTTGCCCCGCGGGCCTGGGCGGCGGCGGCGGCACCGCGCAGGTACCACCGCGATGGTGCCACGGCCGCTGCCCCGGAGCCGCCCGGACCCCGCACCCCTCAGCCCCTCGGGCGGCCGCGAAGATGGCGGAGGGTCCGCGCCCCGCTGCCCCCGCACTCACCTGTCAGCCACAGCCGCGGCGGCGGGCGGGGAGGGGCAGGGCCGCAGGCGGCGCGGAGAAAGAGGAGGGGAAGGATGAGGACAACGAGGAGGAGGAGGAGAAGGCGGGAGGGGCAGCAGCAGCAGCAGCGGAGGCAGCAGCGACGATCGCGGCGCCGCTCGGGCAGGACGCGCCTCCCCGGTGCCGAGCCCTCGCGGCGACATCCGGCGGAAGCGGCGCGGCCCCCGCTCCGAGCCGCGATGGCGACGGGCTGGCCCCGGGACAGTGTCCCGGCCGGCACGGCCCCGCGGGCTTGGCGGTGCCCCGGTCACCGGTACAGCCCCGCGGGCTCGGCGGTGCCCCGGTCACCGGCACGGCCCGAGGGCTCGGCGGTGCCCCGGTCACCGGTACAGCCCCGCGGGCTCGGCGGTGCCCCGGTCACCGGTACGGCCCGCGGGCTCGGTGGTGCCCCGGTCGCCGGCACGGCCCGAGGGCTTGGCGGTGCCGCCGGGGCCGGGCAGGAGCTGCCCTGTCACCACCCCTGTCCTCGGCCAGGCAGCCGCGCTGCTGCCCGGGTCACCGTCTAGCTGGAGGTTAAAGAGAGGAGGTGTGTCCGTCCCGACCGGGCTCCCTCGGGGTAACACTGTGTTCATTTACCGTTACTGTTTCCGATTAAAACTGCTGCTGCCTTAGTTAGTCAATTACCTCCAGTAACACTGAATCAGGCGGACTGACGAGGGAGATGAAACTTTGCTGAAGCACCACTGGAATTCCATAATTTTTTAATACAGAAGGGCTGGGAGATACCGAATGTGGAGTTTTTCTACTGTGTCTGCAGACGGAGTGACAGAGGCAGCACATCAAAGCTAACCACGACGTTCTGCCAGTAGGCTGTTCACTCTGAAGCCTACAACGCGTAATTGAAATGTGATTAATTCGTCTGCTGATTAATACTTTGAATAAAACTCCACCTAAAATTCTTATTCATTATAGCAGATAGTGAAAGTCAAAAGAGGCCTTTGCCTAATTATTTTCTCTCTTCCGGCAGAGATTATCTTAACTGCCTTAGAAGAGGTCTGTAAAAAGGCCAGAAGAACATGTGCCAGTGAGGGCTGGAAATATTACATTTTCTTTTAATGTGCTTCCCAACTCCAAGTCTGCCTGCAGTTCTCATTTTTTTCCTTTCTACTCACTTCTATGCAGTCATGTCTTTAAGCTGTATTAAACAGCAACAAAAATAGTGGTTTACCTATTTACTAGCATATTTCTCATTATTGGAGGTCAAAACCACCAGCCTAAATGGTTGAGAACATCCCATAATTTTAGCCTATTCCCTTCTTCAAAGCCACTAAAAGGGAGCAAACTAAATAGCTAAATGGCTTTAAGGAAGGGAAAAGAGGAGAGACTGCACAGGCAAAAGGAGAGGGACAAGAGATTGAACAGAGGTGCCCAGAAGGAAGCCTGAATACAGCCCGACCAAATGCCCCAGTTCAGTGCTTTAAATTCTCTTTAGAGTTGGTGCAGTTGTGGGTGGCTCAGCCATCTTAACCAAGTGACAATTCGAGTTCTCAGCTGTTCAGTTTCTAACTAGACATTTTTAAGCCTCATAATCCCTACCAAAATTACTTTACCCTAATATAACACTACTGTACTGTTACAATTTTAGCTATATATATATGAAGGAAAAATATGTCCAGCAGGATTACAAAGATCCACATTAGAGATTTCCTGGGGAGAACACCTGGCAGCTTTCTTCTCCTCTGGAGCAGCACACTCCCTAGGATCAGGATGCATTACAGAGACAACCATTTTTTTACCAGAAGAAATGCAAAATACTGAAATGAGGAAAGATGGGCTTAAACAACTTTTTCCTTGGTACAGGCTGCCTCACTTGAAAATTAACAGGCCCTGTATGGATGCAGTTGCTTTTTCATGAGAAGAGAATGACAAGTTGTCACTCTCCCTCTGCTACTGGTTTGGTTTTGTCACGGCACTGCAAGAGTAGTAGGCAGTGTGTAATGTATAGGAGCAAGCACAGAACAAAAGACTGACCTGCTTTTCACAAACTACCTGATACAAAACAAGAGACACAGATAGCAATACAGGAGCCTAGGGAAACGGGTCAGTACTAGTCAGCATCTTTTCAACAGCTAAGAAGATTTTTAAATAAGCATACAGTAAACAAAGTGGCAAAATTTAGGTTTTCTGGACAAATCTATTTCTGCACCCATGGCTGGACTTGAAAAGACAGGATAGAAGGCTTGGGAAATCAGCAACAGCACAGAATAATAACAACAGAATAATAGCTGAACCTCCCAAATTAACATTTTTCAAACCTGTAAATGTAGCAGGAAAAGGCAAAGCCTTCTGTCCAGAGCTCAAACCAAAAGAAATAGAAGCAAAACCAAACCAACCAACCAAAAAAATCTAAGGGAGAAAAGGACACAGGGGTTATTTCTCGATTCATATAGGAAATCTCTTAATAACTCCTTCCTAGAAGAGTGGCTTCCTATACCATTATTCATTCACCTTATGCTGTATAAAAACATTTGGAAGCCATCCATCATAGCACTCTTTCCATCAGCTTGAGATAGCAGAACAAAATGCAAATACAACATCCTACTTATATATTTAGCATATATGTATTACATTCTTACTACAAAGACACCTGTCTTCTCTGAAGCGAGCTGAAGCCAACCCACTTCCCTGAAAGAGGCCTTTTAAGAAGAGTCAAGGGAACATCAGATTAGTTAAGACTAGGAAGCATTTACCTCTCATTTCAGATAAAACCCTGGTTGTTTTTCGTTCAGCACATGAGTGGATCATTTATACAAATATTTTCTGAAGAGCTGTGGCTCCAGGCAGGAAAGGACTCACAAGAGGAATTCTCTAGGGAGACCAGGAACAAGGATAGCTCTGTAGCTGAGAAAGGTGAAGTGGAAGTCTTAAACATCAGAGCAAGTTAACAGGAAGCTGAAAAAGAAGAAGTTTGGACGTGAAAGGGGGGAAAGAAGCCCGTTAATTTTCCTTGGCAAATCTGAAAACTGAGGGCAAGCATTTTTCAGGAGTTTATTCTAGGCTGGGGTCAAATCCCAGTTTTGTTCAGCAGTTATATCTTCTTGTAGCTTGTCATGATCTTGTTTAACTTGCTGGAAAATTAAAAGGTTTTCCTTCAGTTTGGTGGGGGTTGCACTTCCCATTCTCTTAGTAGACACCAAAAGTCTGTCAGTGGCTTCCAGTTGATTGGATTTTCAGGTGAATGAAAGACTTCCCAGTTGTTACAAGACACTGTTTTTCCCTCGTTAGGTGTTTGAAAACAGACAGCAGACTTCAGAACATCCAAAAATCAAGTCTCAAAAGCATCTATATGTCCCTCCAGGCATTCTGTTTATGCAGGATGGAGTGGGAGTTCTGAGGTTCCAGTGAAGTGCATACCATTACAAAAATTAGCATGCTTCATTTTCAACACAAAGAGCTTTGAAGGCGCAGAGCAAGTCTGGAGGGGAGCAAAAGAAAAGATACAGGTGACATAAAACACCTGATCCTGAAAGTATGTGGTTAAAGGCTTCAGAAGTCTCTCTCTTGTTTGTTTTGTGAACATGGTTTGTTTTGTCTCATTATCCACCAGGACTTGTTGTCACTTCTTGCTGCTCAAGAGCATTGACTCAGATGAAGTGCTTTATTTGTCTGTGCAAGACAGGAAGCGTAATTGTTTCTGACTGTCAGGTTCTAAAGTGCCTGTTTTCAGTAGTTATTACTAGGAAGAAAAGCCTCTTTTCTCTGTTGTCTATAAGGATATTTTTCCTGGTTTCCCTCTGCTGTGTAGCCTGAAGGTCACTGTGTACACCTGCTAATGTCCCATGCCAGCTGAGCTCCAGGCACAGACACATCTCTGCCTCCCAGGCGAGTAGTTTCTATTCTAAAAGAGCTTCACTCACAGGAGAGCTGCTTGTTAACTCTGTAATCATCATATGAAATGCTGGTTTGTATTTCCATCTCAGTAGTTTTTTTGGGTTTTTTAATAGATCTGTGTAACTTGTTTTGTTACTTTAGGAAAATTATAGAAAAAAAATTACAGTTTAGTTTTTTTTTAATCTGGAATAATAAAACGAGCAAGTGATCAATGTGGTGAAGGATGTTCTCAGTATTTCTTCAAAGCTCAGTCTCCAGTTACTGTGTTTTAGCCAGTGACTCAGCAATAAGTAATCTGTAAACTAATGAAAAGTAAACTCAATAAAAAGAAACCTGTGTACATTTCCATCCTTTCTGAGAGTATATATTTATTATCAACATTTTTGTGATAATATTAAATTTGTAGTTCATTAATTAATAACACAATATTAACATGAATTGTAATATTTTTATGTTATGTTTTATGTAGTTAAAAGGGTGTGTAGCAGTCAAAACATTGCTACAACCTTCTTTTTTTTCCCCACTTTTGATGCTCTGCTGGATTTAAGTGGCTTTCACTCAAATCACCTTCACTCTTCTTCCTTTCAGCAATCTCCACACAGAGGAATGCTGTAAGATAACCCACTCCCCTTGTAAAATATTAACTGTTCATTTGAACATTTATGCTGTTAATGATATCACAAAGTAACAGACCATCTGTCCTGTTCACAGGAAAAATTAAGCAAGCCAGACTGAAATGCTGGGACTTGAGCTGAGAGGGAATCAAAGCGAGCCATGCCTCCACGACCAATTAAATGTAATTTCTAGGTTTTTTATGGCATCCATTCATAAACCCAAATCTGTGGACGAGCAATAAGACAGCAGAAGTCTTGCTGAGAAGGTATTTAGCTATGGTG